AAACACCCAGTTGCCACTTGCCACTAACTTAGCTCTAAACTTTATCTTCCAAAACCCAATACAAAATTCAATCAAAAAAACAAAAAAGAAACAATCCATTATCTCTTAGACCCATCATCGAAATTAACCGAAATTTTAAATTTTGCAATCAAATTGATCTTATTTGGAGACAAAATTAAAACCGCAGTTGATGAAAAGGATCAAGAGGGAGACGAAGTGGGTTAGGATCTTGAGAGAAGCTTACCGGTTTGAAAAACCCAGAAACAAGCAGAGAATGAGAAAAAGAGATTGAAGAATATTTTATAAGAGGAAATATGATTAAAAAAGAAAGATTAAAGAATTTATAGGTTTGAGTAGTTTGGTGGCGTTTAATATTTTATTTTCTCTGCTATTTTAGAATCAAATTAATGAACTTTCTAGCATTTTTCTCAGTTCTAAATAAGATAAAGAGATTATTTTTAATTAATTTATTACTATGGGTTTTGCTTAAAATGGTTCCACGTAACTGCCTGTGATGGTAGCCTTAATGACAGACGAATCGTTTATTTTTATTTGGAGTGAAATGCTCTATATCTATAATAAAATAATTAGAGACTATTTGGTTAAAACAACTTAGTATAAGCACCTTTTAAATATTTCTAAGCTGTTTAGTTACATTTTAAAAAAATTTATAGAATTATAAATAAGCTATTTTAAGACTTATGGGAGAAGCTTTTCATAAATTCATTTTTAGCTTATTTAAAATGTTAAAATTTTAAAAATATTTCTATTCTATTTTATATTTTTGACTTGGACTCATTTTTATATATTAAATCTTTTTTAGTAAATTAATACTAAAAACTCTTTTATGTTTTTTTATTAAATAATTACTTTTTTTCTTCATAAAAGTTCTATTATGATAAATTCCCTTTAAATAAACTCTTCTTTTATAAGATCTGTTCGAAAAAGTAATACCAAAAGGATTAATATAATTTGCTATTATATGATGTTAATTTCAACAAATTTTTGGAAAAATATTAATCATCCTTTCCGAAGGATAAATTCATATATATATTTTTTATATAAAAGGTTAAAAGTACATAATTAATGAATAATTTTTTAATTGGTTAGTCACGGGGAACAGGTGACGGACACCATGGCATCACAGTTATACCTAAACAATTCCTCGTATTATTTATATGTTTAATTAAGTTAAATATATTTGGATGTTTATAATTTTGACTTTTGATCTAATCTCAGCCGTAAACGCGTTTTGCTGTAGAGCCGACCGGACCCACTGAAGTGTGTGAACGGCTAGAGTTTGGCTGATTTCTCTAATCCTAAAAAGTCAACGAGCTTATGTGGGACCATATCCTTCGCTTTGGTTGACTCGGTCCAACCCGGGAAATTTACTGCCGATCCATGGTCCAAGTAGCCGGTCTGGTCTCTATACTTCACGTCATCATGTTCATTTTCCCCAAGTCTCTTCCCCACCACTCCACCAGGGAAAATTACATTTTCTGATAATATATTTTTTTTTTTTATAGCTTAATGTCTCATGTATCTAAAATAATAACTTATTTTTTTGATAAAATTTCGTTAAGATTTCAAAGTTTAATTTTTTATTAAGAATTTTAGGTTTAATTTAACTAATTAAAATTATGATTTATTTTGTTTTTTTCTAAGTTATTTAATATTAACTCGTCCACTTTATTAAAATAGTATTAAAAAAACCCATGTAATTAGCAAAACCTTTATTTAAGAATATATAAAAAAAAAAAAATCCCCTTACAAAATTAAATGAGGTTGAATAAATGACATTGACATGTAAGAATTAAAGACTTGTTGGAAAAGAAAAGAGTTGTTAAGTCATTGCTCAATTCCTTTGTATGAATAGAAATTGACAGGTTGTATATAATTTAATGTTTAATATTGTTAATTGTGAGGAGTGTTTTGACTCTTGTGTTCATGAACAATGACGTGTGGTTGGTGTGGCATTCAGACTCTTACATAAGAAACAAATGTAATAAGATGTGGAATTGAGGAGAGTATAGTTTTAACAAAAGATAAGATAATTTTAAACATGTGGCAAATCAGGTTCAGGTGAAGTGGCAACGAAAATTAGAAAATTGACTTTGAGGTTCTGCAGCATAAAATACATGTGAAGCAACAGATGATATTTTAAGACAAAATTTAAAGATATTGTCAGGTTTGAGGAAGCTATAGTTTGTGGATGAGAAACACCCACAAAGGAAGCTATCAGCAACAATTAATGATTAATGAAGGTGTTATACCTGGGAAATCAAGGGCTGATGTGGGAAGTCACGTGATGAAGTGTGATCTGCTCCCGTCAGAACGGTAAGTGCACGTCAGGCCTGTCAGACGCTATGGAGCTCCCACGTATCCATTTCTCTGCTCCAAATAGCGTGAAATTAGCTTGGGACGTGGGTAATGTAACATAAAGCCGGATTATGTCCTGACATTCACACCAACCCATGGATTTAATGATGATTACATGCATTTATCTCGTTATAAAAAGAGGAAGACCCTTTCATTAAGGGGATTCGGCCATTTTTCACTTAAACTCTCTCTCTCTCTCTTGCAAACTTCGTATTTACTTTTACTAATCATTTGTAAGTCAATCTGCTGTTGCGACCTGACCCACTATACTAATACAAATCAGTGGACATAGGACTTGCTACCTTAGCATCCAAACCACTTTAAAAAGCTCTCATTGCATTTGTTCTACATTTTCTCCATAATCATGTGTGTCCCTTGATCAATCAACGTTACGCACATGTCGATTAGTTGGTGTTCAAATCACGCATCAACAGTTTGGCGCTAGAAGAAGGGCTGATTTAGCGTTCATCCTTCATCAGGAGAATCTCTAACCTACTGGTCCTACAGCAACAAATGGCCCGCCAATCTGAACCTGAGCAAGCCAACCAAAAAACAAAAAACAAAAAACAAAAAACAAAAAACAAAAAACAAAAAACAAAAACAAAAAAAAAAGAGGAAGAAGGAAAATGACCTTACCTTCTGGGGCACGTGACCGAGGACGGATCTTGTTTTGGATGTCGAAGAGATGCCAATCGGAAAAGAAGAGCTTCCGATTTGCAAAGATTTTTCGCTCGAGGTAGAAGGGATTCTGGTGGCATCATCTGAAAAATTTGGCCTTTTATATGGACTGCGAACTGACGGTTACCACCTCTCGCAATCGAAACGACAACCTTCTCTCTCTCTCTGCATTAAATGCGCCCCACGTCGCATTCAATGTTGTGATGAGGGTCGTCGTTTCAAATGTGTCGTGCAATTAATGCTGTCAAAACAACGCCGGATCAGCACACAACGCATTTAATGCGTCTGGCAGACGCTTTAACACGTGCAGAGCGCCTGACAGTGCGGAAACAAGCTCATTGAATCTCCGACCCTAAGGCACGGTAAGAAACGTCCGATGAATCCAGGTGCTAGGATGATGATTGTCAGGTCGTTTGGGCGAAGATTGTGCGAGATCGTGTTCGCAAAAGGCCCTGTCCCGAGCTTCTTCCATTCAGGTCGAAATTACCAGAACCTCCAATCGCGGCATGACTTAGTTTTCAAGGTTCGATCCTCAAACCTTAAAAACTAGGGGACTTCTGTTATGCCTGAGAAATCAAGTACTGACGTGGGAAGTCACGTGATGAAGTGTGACCTGCTCCCGTCAGAACGGTAAGCGCACGTCAAGCTTGTCAGACGCTATGGAGCTCCCACGTGTCCATTTCCCTGCTCCAAATCGCGTGAAATCAGCTTGGGACGTGGGCAATGTGACGTAAAGCCGGATTATGTCTTGACATTCACACCAACCTATGGATTTAATGATGATTACATGCATTCATCTCGTTATAAAAAGAGGAAGACCCTTTCATTAAGGGGATTCGGCCATTTTTCACTTAAACTCTCTCTCTCTTGCAAACTTCGTATTTACTTTTACTAATCATTTGTAAGTCAGTCCGCTGTTGCGACCTGACCCACTATACTAATACAAATTAGTGGACGTAGGACTTGCTACCTTAGCATTCGAACCACTTTAAAAAGCTCTCATTGCATTTGTTCTACATTTTCTCCATAATCACGTGTGTCCCTTGATCAATCAACGTTACGCACGTGTCGATTAGTTGGTGTTCAAATCACGCATCAACAGAAGGAAACCTATGGCTCGAGACATTCAAGAATTTCCCATAATCTCAGAAAAAAGAATATATGATTTTTAGTACCACAAACATTAATATGAACATGGGGAAATAACACTAATATCATAATCACCCACCTTATATAAACATAGCCTGCACTGGATAAGGGATTTTTCTTGCTCTTTATTATATATCAATTATAGCAAGTGATTGTAAATAATACCATTCTTCTTCTTGTGTACTATCTGATAGCGTACTTCTTCTGGAAGGTCATCATCAAGGCTGGCAATGGCATTTCACCAGCAACTTTTCTATTTAATTTCCTTGCTTAGAAGGCCGGCATGATCCAATACAAAGATCGCCCACATCCAAATTATTATTTCTTCAGTACCAATCTTTTTATTTCTGCCTTCTAATCCCACTTTCAAAACTTTTATCAAGGCGATTTAAGGTTGTTATATTTGATGATATAGAAAAAAAAAAAAAATCAAACAATGGTATTTAATTAGATTGTGCACCGACAGTACTATAAAAGAAGATTCAATCGATTAGAGACTAGGAATGTTGTTGTATCATTTAAACTTTTGTTATGTTTTAAATAATATATGTTTGATCAAGACAAAGACAGCAAAAAGATAAAATGTTATTCTTTATCCTTTGGCTCTTTCTGTAAGTTGAAACCTCAACATCATTACATTTTATACTTTGTGCTTTAGTCACAGATTCCTCTTGCGCATCACGGGTTCGTTTTTGTTTACAGTAGCACTTGCTTCATATTCATTACAATATTAATCGTCAGCTGATCGGTCTTCATCGATCGACAAAAACAACACTCATATCTCACAAAGCAAAGATTGAAAATATATATATAAAATCCAAGAAAATAACCTCCCAAACAAAAAATAAAAAGAAAGAAAGAACCAAACACCATTAACGAATATACATGCTATCCTGGAAATTTTGTTTTCCTTTAATATTATTGTAATTTCTAGTCTATATAAACATTAATTAAAGGATAGTTACAAAACGTTTATATTGTACTGCAACTGGATTGAGGCACCTGATTCATGCTGCCTTTATGCATTTCTTGGTGCGAACGAAAGGCCAGCAACCATCCTTCTCATGCCTGCATTAAAATTAAAATGTTACTTGCAGCTAACAAAATATAGCACATTTAAGCAGGGGCCAAATTCAAATAAAGGTTCTGATAACTATCATTTCATATTGCAAAAATTTGAAGTAGTACAATGCTATGTACTGCAATCTGTCAAATCTTTTGCCTAATACTGATTATCAAAAACTTTAACACAAGTTTTCCTCTCCCTGGGAAACCGGTTTAAATCTATGAAGGCAAAGATTGACTTTAAAGACCATAAAGTTTTCTGCAACTTAAACTAGTCGTATGAGACCTATGATATGAGTTTTGAGTAAACAAAGAAAAAGTAATAGAAAAAGATCCGTTTCTTTTCCTTCTCTGTATCTTTAACAGAGTTTGATGGTTATTCTATAAGATTTTAGAGGAAAATCCTCAGAAAAATGCAGATAAACAAATAAAACATTACTATAACTTGCTACAACAAAAAAAAAAAAAAAAAGATTATTGTTTTAACAGATTCTGTAATCCATATAAACAAGATTCCTCTGTTTCATATTGGAACAGATTCACTGAGAAGTTTCAATTCTTGAAAATCTTTGACCCCAAAACTCACTTTCTTCAGAATTTTCCCAATAAGAAAAAAAACCAGATTTATAAGTATTATTGAATATTGCGAACCCAAGAAAATAATCACAAGTTTTAAAACATACCTGCTACTAGAGCTACTAATGCTGCTAGAACTGCTCTTGCCACTCCCACCGTTGCTACTCGATCCAGTGCTTCCACTGTTCTCACTCGACACCGAAAAACTCTTCTTCCACCACTCTTTATCAACACTTTTATCAGATCCATCATTAACAGGCGACTTCGGAGAAATTTTCGAACTGTTGTTTCTCACCAGTTCTTTCTTCTTCTTCGTTTTCTTGGAACCGAACGCAACAGGAAACACCATCTTAAGCAAAAACCCCTCATTGCTATTATTATTTTTATTATTTAAACTTCCATTTCTCTTCATTTGCACCTTCTTATAATTCTGATCACTCTTTCTCACTATTTCCCTCGGATCTCTATTCTCCTCTCTAAAACTTTCTTGTCTATTACTAAATTCATCCACGGGCTGCTGCTCCACAAGATCTTTCAAAGTAAGCTCATAACACGACTCGGGCATTTTACTCACCATTTCCATAAGCTCCCTTTGCCCTCTGGCAATAGCTTGAGCTTTTGACGCAGGGGACAAACTTCTATAATTATTCCTTCGATGCTGTGGACTTGCAGTCGGACTCATCTTCCACAACGGTGGTGACAATAACGAAGACTCATCATCACCATTTAACTCCGCATCCCGTCGACTCAAAGAACCCATATAACTCGCATAATTCTGAGCCGCTTTTCTCGGCCGGTTACCGTACTCTTTAACATGGTAACTACCATAACTACCATAATTCTTGGCGGGTTCTGTTTGGGGTTCAAGCATGGTTTTTTTCCTGAGGAAAGTGAGATTTTTTGGTTGAAGCAAAAACAGAGGGTGTGATTGTGGTTTGTTTGAGAAAGAAAGTGAGGTGCAAGGGTGTTAACAGTTATCACCACCGACTCTAATGCTAAACTTTGTCTTTTAGCATTAAGAAATTGTTTCGAAAATTGTTTTCAAAAAATTGTTTTCAGTGGGGCTGAGGTGGGGGGTGTTGGATATTAAAGTCAAGAAGTTCTAGATGGCAGATGGTGCGTAAGCAGTTGCTGAATGCCTGAATGGCCCTCTAGGCTCTATCTCTTATCATTTATTTATTTTTCTTTCTTGTATTTATTTCGTCTTTCGAGGAACTTTATTTGCTTTTATTTTATATCTTGTCTTTTCATGTGGAAAGAAAGCCTACCACTAATTTCCTTTTGACTTTTTCTAGCATCTCCTGACGTATCTAAATTAAATGAGAAAATATCGTATATTATCCTTACAGTTTCTAAATTTCTCATTCAGATGATAATTTTTATATTTTTATTGAATAGACCTCCCAGTTTAAATTGATTAATTATTTAATAAGAGATTATCTGAAATACGGAGCTACTAATAAGATTGATTAATTAGTTAATAAACAATGGCAAAGCAGAATATCTTAAGTTTTGTGAGCCATTGAGCAATGATAATGTCTAAATAAAGCCACGACCGTTTGCAACTTTTCAGGATTTAGTGGTATTTGTCCTTTTTATACAATTTTAATTAGTCCCTTTTGGATACATGTGTAAAGCCCAGATTCGACGCTCTTCTATCTGAGACAATTTTTAAATTGATTTAAGTTAAAGTAAATAGCCCACGAGCGATTGCCGTACTGATTAGAATACCATTAATTAGCGGCGTTTAGATTGCGAAAATCCTCGTGTCATCATTTAACGACTTCTTTTTGTTTTGGCTAACGGTTGCCTTGTTGAAAACGAAACCAAAGGATTTATTTTTTATATTAATTAAATAACTAATCTAAATGAACTACTTGCTTAATGGCCAAGTATTAGAAAAACCCCATTTTTTAGGATAATACCTTAACACGGTTTGCAAAATATAATGATTAAATACCAAAGGAAGCAATTGTGTGAAATTAATTAAAGACTAATTGAAAACATAAAATTGAAGTCTTAGCTCATAGCTGACGAAGCGTCCACCAAGACCAAAGTATTGGTAAAAAGTTTAAATGAAAGATGGGGCAGCTACACACAACAAGGATTGTGGTCCTCACCAATTATCAAAGTATCTTTGTGTAGTGAAGTTAAATCAAATTTATAGCACTTAATTTTGATTTGTTTGGTATATTATCAACTTTGTTTTTGCTTCCAATCATGGAGCCCAATTCATGAATTATTTGTTTCTTTTTATCCAAGTTTCTCTTTCTCTTTCTCATTCATTCAATCTTCCTTTTACTTTACCCCAAGGACCACCATAAACACAAAATCTTGGAAAATAATCTTCCTCTTCTCACCAAACTTTATTTAAAATAAATGAAAATAATAAATTATTAAATTACGTTGAAACCCTTTTAAGATTTTCAAAAGGTATTTATTTTAACCTCTTCTTTTGTTGTCAAACGATAAACTATTTAACTATTGGAGTAAGTTATATCTAAGAATTTTGTGTTGTAATGATGGAATAAGTAATTATCTTACCAAAAAAAAAAAAAAAAAGTTCCTTATTTCATTGAAAAAATGAATGGAAATTTTGTTATTAAAAAATAAAAATAAAGAAATATATTTTCATCCGTTTAGTTAATACATTGTTCTCAAAATGCCGTAGACTTTGGTGTAAAGTAAAACTAAATATCGTAATCACTCGTGTTTACAATTTTTAATTTATTATTTTGTAGAAAATACATATAATTCCAAGTTTTGACTTCACCAACAATCTAGAAAGAAGGGAATCAACTTCATCTGCTATATCTTAGTCTGCGTCAACCTTCTTTATTTTTCTTCCGTAAATCAATTCGATAATCTGGGTAACTTCAGCGTACCCACGAAATAATTATATAAAATGTTTTTTTTATCAACTACAGTACTATTTTTTTATCCGGGTTCATTAAAAAAAGAAGAAGGTGAGATTGATATTTAATTTGTTGTGTTGAACACTTGGACAAAAGGCTGCCATTGTTTCATTATTTCCCGATTCCAAATATTAACGCACCTTTTGTTTTCTTGTTTTTAAAATCATATCATAAATTAAGAAATATTTTAAACCCTTTAAGTTTATTAATCGATAAAAACACATTCAACAATTTTTTTATAAATTAACAAAAACACTCCTATTCATCTATAGTTGCTAGATTCTGACAACCATCATCAATGATGATTGAAACCTATCACAACGATGCACTACTGGCTGGGACTGACCGATAATGAGCAGATCTAGTATTTTCCTGTTAGATCACCGTTTACGACCAGATCTAGCATTTTCTGATCATATTAATGGTGGATCTGGCCTAAACGGCCAGATCCAATCGATCGTGCACTGTAACGCTAGATTCCAGCCTAATTCCAGTTATGGTGACTGGAATCTGGCAACTGGGGTGAATAGGGGTGTTTTTGTTATTTTATAAAATTTTTATATATTGAGATGTTTAGTTAAATTAGCAAACTTAAGAGATTTTTTAATTAATTTTTAAATTATAACTTGCAATAGTCACCCCCTTCACCTACCAATAATATTCAAAAAATACTATTCCAAAGTAGCGAACAAACACATCTGATATTTATTTGGGTGATGTTTGCCTAACTGCTAATGAAAAAGACTGTTGATGTTGTAACCTTGTTAATAGTGATCTCCCAACTCCCAAGTTCTCTATTATTTATTGCATCTTTTAAAAATAATTTACTATACATAAATGAAACATATGCAAATTCTAATTTTGTGGCTCAAGAAGATGATGACAGTATTATATATTTATCTATTTATGTAAATAAAAATAGATTTCATGACTTTTATTAATAACCCATTAATTATTTAAAACATTCTTAGCTGTAGTCGGCATTGTTATAACTTTTTTATTAATCATTTATTTCATAAGTTATAATTTAAAAAGCATTCTATCAACTAATTTAAAGAGAAATTATATTAAAATTTTAATAGTAAATGATTTATTTTTTATAAAAGAATTCTGGCTTTTAAAAATCTAAAACTACCACTGTATTAATTACCCAAATACTCTATCTATTAGTAAAAATTCTAAATTATTTTTTAAAAGATAATTATTTCATTTAAATTAATTATTCAATAGACAACATATTAATTTTATATAAAGAGATCAGATCTTTTAACTTAAACTTTTTACTTAAATTGAGATATATTTTTTCAATGGTTGATATTTTGCAATTTAATGGATACAAAAAGAGTTTGAAAATACTTATCATGTTGATAGCTCAACAATTCTTACACCTTTGGATTGTATTGAAATTACGATTGAATCTTGAGTGTATTATTCAAGATGTCCTAACTTTGAATCATTTTTTAATTGTTAATAGGGATAGTCATTGACACTCTTACTCGATCAATAGTTTCGAGGTCTCAGATAACCAGTTGAGATAGGTGTAAATTGAATTGGATACTTTCGATCATTAAAAAAATAAAAAAAAGGGACCAAATTGAAAGATCACATCCCTTACATAAAATAAAAAACTAGCCAATAAGGCAAATTTTGGTCAATGGGGCGTGTCTAGCAACAATGTTAGTTCTATTGGTTAGATCTTGTGTCGATCTAATCCAACCCATGACATTAGTAATCGGAGTGTTTCACACGACAATAAGCTGAAAGAGAATGATTGGACCTTTTCCCAGCCTATGACGATTAAATATTTTATCCTCTTTGCAAGTATCATCGGTCTGAGATCTACTCATTGAGGTAGACAATTTTGTTAGAAGGGTTGCTTGCCGCCTATTAAATTTTATATGTATAGGTAATTTTGCATCAAACATCAAATAAAGATTTGTGTACAAACTGATGTGACACAAAAAAAATAAAAAAATAAAAATAATAAGTTTGACTTTTTATATTCACTCTTTCATTCATTTTATGTTACGTTAGTTTGTATACAATTTTTAGTAAAATTTGTTTGTACATCTAGTATTATTGTAAATTTTATATGTATATGTAATTTTGTATAAAAAAAAACAAACATTTTATAAATTCTACTTAGAGTTGAATATTTTATAACATATGTTGATGCTCGTTTTTGACACCAACTAATTGTCACGTGCGTACTACTGATTGGTGGATTAACACGTGATAATGAATATTCGAAATGAAATAAATGCAGAGAAAGCTTTTAAAGTGGTTCGGATGCTAAGGTAGCAAGTCCTACGTCCACTGATTTGTATTGATATTAGTGTGGGTCAGGTCGGTAAGCGGACTGACTTACAGAGGAATTATGAAAAGTGAATGTGTTTACAGGATAGAGAGAGAGAGAGAGAGAGTCCTTGCAAAAATGGCCGAATCCCCTTAATGAAGGGGTCTTCCTCATTTTATACCAAGCTGAAGCGTGTAATTATCATTAAATCCATGGGTTGGTGTGATTGTCAGAATATAATCCGGCTTTATGTCCCATTGCTCTCTTCCCAAGCTGATTTCGCATGATTTATTGCAGGGGAAAGGGACGCGTGTGAGCCCCATATCATGTAGCAGGTCTGACGTGTGCGTGTTGCCCTGACGGGAGCAGGTCACTCTTCACGTGACTTTCCCACATCAGCCCTTATTTCCCCAGTCATAACAACATAAAATGAAAAGTGATGGAAGGAACCCTTTTTCCAAAAGAAAAATATTAGGTTATAGATGATTATATTGAAACACGTTTCAAACAGTTTGGTTATTTTATAGGAAAACTAATCTAAATAACACATTCTGCATTACACTTTTTTACATTAGTAAAAATACTTAAATTAAATGAAAAAAAAAATCCTTAAAACACATTTAAGATAATTTAACTACATCAACATATATACATTATTCAGTATCATCAATCATGAAAAATAAATTATTATATTTATTTAGTATCATGATAAATAAATTATAAGTGTTAAATTAATGTTAATGGTGCTAATTAGGTGAGTATAAATATTTAATTTTCTCTTCAAATTGTCTAAGAATTTAATTTTAATTGCTATGCGAAAAAAATAAAAATAAAGGTCATTTAGGTAATTTCCTTATTTTAAAAACAATTAATTTACAAACAAAGGCAGAAAAGTAGCTGAAAGAACAACATGAAGAGCACACAAAGACCGTTTCAACCAGTCCAGCTCTGCATGTGTTTGCATGGCGGGGAATGCAGCCACTGTACTGAAGCATCTTCTTCACAAATCACCAACCCTACGCGCTACTAACAAAACCCTAACCAACACTATCCTAACCCACCTCGAAGCCAACCGTCTTCGCGAAGCCGTTTCGGTCCTCTTCGCCTCTCCAGATCCCGTCCCTTACTCTCTCTATGCGCAACTCTTCAACCTTTGCTCTTCCCAGCACGCCATTGTCGAGGCCCGGAAAGTGGAATCTCACCTGGTTACGATCTGTCCCACGCCACTCACGTTTCTCTTGAACCGAGCTATAGAATGTTATGAAAAATGCGGGTATTTGAGTGACGCATGGGAGTTGTTCGATGAAATGCCTGAGAGAGATGGTGGGTCTTGGAATGCAATGCTTAGCGCGTATACGCAAAATGGGTTTGCGTAGAAAGCGTTGTTATTGTTTGTAAGTATGAATAAGGCGGGGATTTTAGCGAATGAGATTAGTTTTGCTAGCGTTTTGCGGTCTTGTGGTGGGGAATTGGAGCTTGGTCTTGCGAGGCAAGTTCATGGAGTGATTGTGAAACGTGGGTTTTGTGGGAATATGATTCTGGAAAGCTCGCTTGTGGATGTGTATGGGAAGTGTATGATTGTGAGTGACGCGAGGCGAATATTTGATAGGATAGAGAATAAGAATGCTGTTTCTTGGAATGTGATTGTTAGGAGGTATCTTGAGGCAGGGGATGAGAATGAGGCTGTTTTCATGTTTTTTAAAATGTTTAGGGAAGATATTAGGCCCTTGAATTTTACTTTTGTTAATGCTCTAATTGCTTGTTCGGTTTTGTCCAAGTTAAAGGAGGGAATGCAGATTCATGCGGTTGTTATTAAGAATGATTTCGAAGGGGATGAGGTGGTTTTGGGTTCCCTTATTAATATGTATGTTAAGTGTGGGAAATTAGAGGATGCTCATAGGATATTTTACCAACCGGGAAAGAGGGGTTTGATTTCTTGGACTTCTATTATGTCGGGATATGCAACAAGTGGGAGAATTAGAGAGGCAAGGTAGCTTTTTAATGAGATGCCTGAACGGAGTGTGGTCTCTTGGAATGCAATGCTGGCAGGGTATACTCGTGCCCTTCAATGGGAAGAGGCTTTGGATTTTATTTTTGTTATGCAAAAAACAACTAAAGACATTGACTATGTCACTGTTGGGTTGCTTCTAAATGTTTGTGCTGGCCTTTTGGATGTTGAGATGGGGAAACAGGTTCACGGTTTTATCTACCGACGTGGATTCTCAGCTAATATATTTGTCAGCAATGCTCTTCTTGACATGTATTTCAAATGTAGGAACATGAGAAGTGCCAGAGTTTGGTTTTACCAAATGAGTCAATGGCGTGATAGGGTTTCCTGGAATGCATTGTTGACTAGCTTTGCTAGGCATGGTCAGAGTGAACATGTAATGCCATTTTTCTCAGAAATGCAATGGGAGGCAAAACCCAGTAAATTTACATTTGGCGCCCTTCTGGCAGCATGTGCAGACATCTTAGCCCTTGAACAGGGCAAACAAACTCATGGTTTCATGATTCGAAATGGTTATGAGATAAATGTTGTGGTCAGAGGTGCTTTGGTTGACATGTATTCTAAATGTCGTTGTCTTGAGTATGCACTCAGGGTATTTAAAGAGGGACCTTCTACCGATGTGATTCTTTGGAACTCTATATTTTTTGGATGTTGTTACAATGGAAGGGGCAGAGATGTAATTGAATTGTTTAATTTGATGGAGAAGGAAGGAATCAAGCCGGACCACATTACCTTTCAGGGAATTTTGCTAGCTTGTATATATGAAGGTCTGTTAGGTTGGGTTCAGAGTATTTTGATTCAATGAGCAATAAATATTGTATCATACCTCGAGTGGAGCACTATGAGAGCATGATTGAACTCTATGGACGGCATGGATGCATGAAGGAACTTGAGGATTTTTTGAAGAAGATGCCATTCGATCCCACTGTTTCAATGTTGAAAAAAGTCGATGATGTGTGCAGAAAACATGGATACCTGAAGTTGGGAGAATGGGCTGCCAAACGACTTGAATTGAATCCTTTTGCAACTTAATCTAAGTTCCACATTCCCCAAGTTAGAACTCCCTGCAGCAGGCAAGAGTGGTGAGGGACATTAAGCTTCGTAGCTAAACCTCTTTATACAGAAGTACCTCACATTCCCCTGACATCGCTCTTGGAATGAAAATCGACAGTAAGGAGGTAACATGATCGTCACCAACTACAACAGGATGAATTGACATTATATCAGTGCACGGGAGAATGTCCAAACATGTCTAAGCATTATTAGGATCCATTCTTTTAGGATCTTGGGAGTGAAAGCCATTTTTTCAGTTGTATAGGACATATCATACGGAAGTCGAGTTCTATGCAAAATGTTCATATGAGGATTCACTACAGATCTACCGGAGCTATTGGACATACCAAAAGTGGTAGAAGAATAATCTAGTAAAGTAAAAGTGAGTGGTATTAAAACTTCAAGGGGTTGGCTTGACGGTCAAGGAAGTTTGCTTAATTCTTTAAATTCTTAAGTTCAAACCTTCGGTCATTTACCATAATAACATTGTGGTTTATTTGGTTCTTTGGATTTGTAGGGTGTTTAATGGACTCCGAAGATTAGTTGAGATGCGATTACCAAAAAAAAAAAAAAAAAAAAGTGAGTGGTATTTGCAGAAAAGACTATAGTTATTTGATCATATAGCTGTTTTTTATATAAGGGACAATAAGCATACAAATGTTGTTGAATTATAAGTCCTTTGCTCAAATAAAGCTTTTTTTTTTTTTTTGAGGAAATTGTTTAATACTTGGAAGTGATTTGTATTCGTCAATCTTCGATTAATGTTCTACAGCTTTTGTCATTCATCACCCTTCATTTCTTACAAGGATAATTATTCCTACTCCATGATAATAAGTCGATATGAACCTTGATAAAAAAAAATTCACAGTATATTTTTAATATCAAGGGTTGCGATGGACTTGATTTGATGAAGCACTTTCCCATCTTTACTATCGAGTATCGAGTACTGACTAGCACTGGCTCATCATACTATTAAGTATTAACCTAAAACATTGAGTATTTAACTCATTTTCATTTAACTACTAATTGGCAAGTTTAACGACATCAGAAGATTTGGGTTATTTTATGTGTAAGCTTTCTGCAATCGGCTTCGGGTATAAATATCCGGAACTTCAAAAACATAGTGCATTCAAAATCAGTGAATGAATAAATTATCATCACTATGGATGTTAGGCTACACTCTCTAGCTTGCCTACTCCAATCCTGCAACACCCGCCACTCCGTTCACAAAGGGAGACAGCTCCACCTCCTCTTCCTCAAAAAGGGTATCCTAAACTCCACTCTTTCAATAGCCAATCGTCTTCTCCAAGTGTACATGCGTTGTGGCCACACAAGCGACGCGATCCTTTTGTTCGATGAAATGTCCCAACGAAACTCTTTCTCTTGGAACACAATGATCGAAGGCTTCATGAACTCCGGACACAAACAAAAATCAATAGAATTCTTTAATTTAATGCCGCACAAGAACGATTTTTCGTGGACTCTGGTTATTTCGGGGTTTGCGAAATCCGGTGAACTAGATACCGCAAGGCGTTTGTTAAATGACATGCCGAGGACAAATGGGGTAGCTTGGAATTCGATGATTCATGGTTATTTGAAAAATGGTCGTGCACGAGATGCTGTTAAGATGTTTAAGGATATGGATTCAGAAACATTTGGGAGATTACGTGGTGATACATTTGTTTTAGCCACGGTGATTGGGGCTTGTGCTGATTTGGCTGCTCTACTGTGTGGAAAGCAAATTCATTCACGTATTGTGATTGATGGTTTGGAGTTTGACTCGGTGTTGGGGAGTTCGCTGGTTAATTTATATGGAAAATGTGGTGATTTGGATAGTGCCAATCATGTTTTGAATATGATGAAGGAACCAGATGATTTCTCGTTATCAGCATTGGTTTCGGGATATGCTAAATGTGGTAGAATGAATGATGCAAGAAGGATTTTTGATCGGAAAAGTGATCCGTGTGTTGTGTTATGGAATTCAATGATATCGGGTTATGTTTCTAATAATGAGGACAGGGAAGCTTTAGTTCTCTTTCTTAAGATGCGACAAAATGGAGTTCAGGAAGACTCCTCGACATTTACTAGTGTTTTGAGTGCCTGTAGTGCTTTAGGAGTACTCGAACATGGTAAACAAATTCATAGTCACGCTTGTAAATTTGGAGTAATTGATGATGTCGTTGTAGCTAGTTCTCTGCTTGACACATATTCCAAGTGTGGTAGACCCAATGATGCTTGCAAATTATTTAGTGAACTCAAAGTCTTTGATACGATTTTGCTTAATACCATGATCACAATTTATTCCAGTTGTGGAAGAATTGAGGAAGCAAAACAGATCTTTAAGATGATGCCAAATAAAAGCTTGATATCATGGAATTCAATGATTGTGGGTCTTAGTCAAAATGGTTGTCCAATTGAAGCATTAAATCTTTTTTGCGAGATGAATAAACTGAACTTGAGGATGGACAAGTTTAGTCTGGCTAGTGTGATCAGTGCTGCTGCTAGTATTTCTTCACTTGAACTTGGTGAACAGGTTTTTGCTAGAGTTACTGTCATTGGACTTGAATCCGATCAGATCATTTCTACTTCCCTTGTTGATTTCTATTGCAAGTGTGGTTTTGTTGAAATTGGACGAAAATTATTCAATGAAATGGTGAAATTTGATGAGATCTCTTGGAATTCAATGTTGATGGGTTATGCTACAAATGGTCAAGGATATGAAGCCCTAGCCTTGTTCAATGAAATGAGAAATGCTGGTATAAGACCCACTGGTATTACGTTTACTGGGGTTCTGTCTGCCTGTGATCATTGTGGACTGGTTGAAGATGGAAGGAAATGGTTTAATGCAATGAAATGGGACTATCATATTGATCCGGAGATTGAGCACTATTCTTGCATGGTTGATCTTTTTGCACGTGCTGGTTGCCTTGAGGAAGCAGTGAAACTAATAGAACAGATGCCCTTTGAGGCAGATGCAAGCATGTGGTCATCAGTCTTAAGAGGTTGTGTGGCCCATGGAGATACGAATCTCGGGAAGAAGGTGGCAGAACATATCATTGAACTTGATCCCGAGAATTCAGGTGCTTATGTACAGCTTTCAAGCATATTTGCCACCTCTGGGGAGTGGGAAAAATCATCTCTAGTCAGAAAGGTAATGAGGCAGAGGCAAGTGAAAAAGAATCCTGGTTACAGCTGGGCTGATGGTTGAACAAGACATTTTCACAGGGGTGAATCAATTAGACGATGAGACTTCTTAAGGAGAAAGCATGTTATGCATGCATGAATGGATTTAACCAAGATCTATTACCAGTGAGCCCAAATAAATTATTTTGATATCCATTTCAAATGCTTACCCAATTTACAGTCAAGATCTTATCACCTCCACAAAATAGTTGCTTGTGCTCCAGCATCTTCTATCTGCTTTACGATTTTGGTAAAGTGACTGTATTCTGTTATATTTTATGGTAACTTCATCTGCGGCATTGGTCAAACTATTTGTTTACTAATATCATGTTTTTGCAGCTGGCTTTTCTGTTGATCAGGGCAGTTTTATGAAAATTCAGTGAACATGTTTGGCTTCTGTTGTGCTATTATTGAACCGAAAGTTCTAATGATGAGGCTTTCATCTTCATTAGGAAAAAAACACATTCTTGGAGCTTGACTTGGTATCACATTCACTGGTTCAACCATGTACAGTCCTTTACCACTTAGTTTGAAGAGATCATTTTACCCTGGGGTGGCAACAGTTTTAGGTTGTATACTTATCTGAGGCAGGTAATTCATACGCAGAGTGCGGTGGCCATTTAGGAATGTCTCGGCTTTTGCTACTGTTGCTGTCCGGACAAACTGGGAATTTGTTTGTTACATGCGACTGTAATCTAGTTTACAACTTATCATTTGCTGATATTTTCTTTGCAGCGGGCTCACAGTTACATGTTGATCTGACTGGTTCATGGGAACTCGCTAAAAAATTGTCATGTTTATTACAGATGATTTTGCTGCGAGACCTCATTAGATAACCACTAGTCTTACGTCGCATTTGAAGCTCCATGTTCGGAAGAGCCATGGATAAAAAATATTACCTCATCCGAGACTGGAGATATACAATGCCTTTGTGTTCTTGCCTGCTTATTGAAGTGACCATGCGTGATATATTTTGAGCTCAATATGCTTTTCTTTGCAACAATGAACAAGAGAAGAAGTCTTCGGCCAACCAGAAAACTATACACAAGTCCAACTTGGCCATAGCAAGAAAGCTGCTTGTTTTCTCTGTCATCAAGCTTTTTTCTTGGTTGTAGGAAATGCTGTCCCAAGAGTTATCAACTATAAACCATCTTCATCACCCAAAGGTGGTCGCAGCCTGCAATGAAAATTTGTTGGGTTTTCCAATGTTTATGGGGTGTCATGGATTATGTTCTTGTTTCCACAATTTGTAAATGATTAATTTGTTGATAATTTCATCAGATAATAACTGCTAATGCTTTCGTATGCCACGAAACTGATCATCCTATAACAAAAATTAAGATGAAAAATCTTATTTCATTAACACAGAGTATCTGATAATATAACATCTATAAAATATTTTTCATTTTTTCAGAAAAGATTTATCACGTTTCAACTATTACCTTAGTAAAATATATCTGAGTTTATTTCATATACTCTTGTGAGATTATTTGATAGACATATCCAAACTTTTCAGAAACCATAAAAAACTCTATCAATAATAAAACCCCCTTTAAATTCTATTTCAGAGATTTTTAATAATTTTAGGGGAGTTTTTGATAGTTTTCAAAAACCTTAGATGCGCTAAAATTAAATAATCCCGTCAGGAATATAAGAATAAACCCAATAAATAATAATAATATTCGAACTTAAGATTGTTACTTGAGAATTGAGATACAAGACGATGTTATATAATCATTTAATCCGAAACTAGAGTTATTAAATAAAGATATTGAATTATTTTAATATTGTATAATTGCAGTATTGATGTGTATAAAAATTATATGTATATTGGTTTGAGTAACTTATGGTTTACTTACCAAACCTACTAAGTAGTAACTTCTCCTAACCAAATTGAGATCAACTGGAACTGTTTTCTGGTTGCGTTTAGTTCGGGGTGATATAAGATTATTCCTATAATTTTTGTTTAATTTTCAAAATTCCTTTATTTGGTTGTCATGTAATAAAATATTACTTAATCTTTTATTACAAATAGTGTTTAGTGTTAATAATATTGGGGTTAATTAGATTACCTTCCTAATGGGTGTTAATATAAGATTACCGAGGTAATCTTAATTTTGACCATATTTTGCTCTTAATATTTTATCGTTTTGGACACATTTGCCCCCATATGTCTACCAAATAACAATTAGTCCAGATCATTATATTTTAGAATTTAGTTAAAACACTCCAACCACAAAAAATTTAAAAGTTAACAAAATACACCTAGACATCTAAGACCACCGTCTGTCGCTAGCCATCACTGTTGGCCGCTGGCGAAAGTCATCATATCGACACAAGACCTCGATAAGGACGTTTCCAACCATGGATTTGTGATCTATGGTCGGAAACGACCAGATCTGACAGTAAAAAAGCCACATCTTTGACTGTGAAACAGTCATATTCACGGTTAGATCTAGTAATTTCTAGCCAAATCCATGGTCGGATTAGGCTTTACAGGTGCATTGACCAACTAGATCCGGTTACTCGTACGTCATTACGATGGCTACTGGTAGTGGCTTGGGATGAGTGGAGTGATTTTGCTATAAATTAAAGTTTTATTTAGTTAAAGTATTTTAGCAAAATTTCAAATATAAGAGTTTAAAAGAAAAAATTTTAAAAATATAGAATAAAATAATATTATAATATATTTAAAAATGATGATAATTTAGTAATCTATCGTAACATATTCACTTGTTTATTCTCTCAATCAAATATATTATTATAATATAACTATTAATTTATTTTAACCAACTAAACATGATAATAATCTATTTTTTCATAATATAACATTACCAACTAATATAACATTTCTAAACCGAACGCACCCTTTGAATGGAACGTTAATCCTGTAATAAAACATCTTAAACTGCTAAATAAATTCAATCCCTTTAGAGATGGAAGAAGAAGGTGAACCTGCAGCAACAATCATGGTGTTTGAAACGGTATATTTCATTCTCAATGATTTCTAGTGGCACTTAATTTTTATGTACCCATATCTGAAAAAACTTCATTTTGACAAAGCCTCACTCTCTTATTACTCTAAACTAATAGACCACTGTTTATCCCTCAAGTCATTTGATTTTGCAAAAAGCATCCATGCCCAGTTGATAAAAGTCGGGTTCAATGGCCATACTTACCTGGGTAACCGCTGCCTCGATTTATATTCTCGGTTTGGTGTTGTTGATGATGTTTTGGAGGTGTTTGACGAAATTCCAGAGAAGAATTGCATATCGTGGAATATTTGTTTGAAGGGTTTGTTGAAAGTTAATCAGTTTAGTACTGCACGTAAGCTGTTTGATGAAATGCCTGAACGAGATGTCGTCAGTTGGAATTCTATGATTTCGGGTTATGTCTCCTGTGGGTATTTTAAGTTTGCGTTGGAACTGTTTCGTAAAATGCAGAATGATGGTGTTAGACCTAGTGGGTTCACTTTCTCGATTATGTTATCCTCTGTGTCAAGTGCTATTTATGGTAAGCAAATGCATGGTGCTATACTTAGGAGAGGTGGGAGTTTATCGAATGTGGTGCTTGGGAATTGTTTAATTGTTATGTATGGGAAGCTTGGTTTTCTTGACTATGCATTTGGTGTGTTTTTTACTATGGAGGAGTTGGATATTATCTCTTGGAATTCATTGATTTCAGGGTGTTTGAAATCAGGCTATGGAGAACTGGCATTGGATCGGTTTTGTTTGATGAGATCCTCAGGGTATTTAGCTGACGAGTTTACAGTCTCTACTATAATGACTGCCTGTTCTAATATGCAAAATTTGGAAAAGGGTAAGCAAATTTTTGCTCTCTGTGTCAAGGTGGGATTTCTTTGTAATTCCATTCTTTTGAGTGCTACTATTGATTTGTTTTCCAAATGCAACAGATTGGAGGATTCGGTTATGCTATTTGGAGAGCTAGATCGATGGGATTCTGCAATTATCAATTCTATGATTTCAAGCTATGCAAGGCATGGTTTTGGGGAGGATGCTATGCAACTTTTTGTGCTCAGCTTGAGGGAGGATTTTAGGCCAACTGAGTTCACACTAAGCAGTGTTGTAAGTTCTACTACAGATCTTCCAGTCGAGTGTGGAAGTCAAGTACATTCCTTGGCAATCAAATTAGGTTTTGAGTCCGATGCAGTTGTTGGCAGCTCACTCATTGATATGTACAGTAAATTTGGTTCAGTTGATTCTGCCATGAAAATTTTTGTTGACATGGAGATAAAAGATCTGATATCCTGGAACACCATCATTATGGGCTTGTCTCACAATGGTAGATTGGCTCAGACGCTGGATATGTTTAACGAACTACTTAAGTACGGTCCATATCCAGATCAAGTAACACTAGCTGGGGTTCTATTAGCTTGCAACTATGGTGGTTTTGTTGATGAGGGAATGATCATATTTTCATCGATGAAAGAGGTATATGGTGTGATACCTGGTGATGAGCATTATGTTTGCATTATTGACTTATTGTGTCGAGCTGGGAAACTGAGGGAAGCAACAGATGTGATAAAAACAATGCCGTATGAACCCAGTTATTTAATTTGGGAATCAATACTCCGTGCTTGTGCAATATACGGAGACCTGAAACTCCTTGAAAATGTAGCAGAGAGGATGATGGACTTGCAACCAGAATCACTTCTACCTTATTTGCTGTTGGCTCAGGCATATGAGATGAGGGGCAGATGGGAGGGCGTAGTCAGAGTGAGGAAGGCCATGAGACAGAAAGGTGTGGTGAAGAAGGTGACTGGATGCAGTTGGATTGGAATAAGAAATCATTTATATACTTTTAATGCTGAACAATTACAGCATCATGGCGGCAAAGAAATTTATTTATTCTTGAGATTACTGATATGGGAGATGGAGGATGAAGGTTGTGTATATTTACAGCACGATAAATTGGATGCTGCTGGAGAGTAACAGCATGGTGCAACTAAAGAGATGGAAATTCTTCATGTTCATATCGAAGTTGTAGTTTTGTGGATACTTCCTCTGTTATAGCCATTAACTATGCGATGACAGATTATAAAATATCAGTACCTACTGACAGTGTTAGAGCTGTGGGGGTGTGCGTAAACCCAATACTAATGAAGATCAGTTTTCTGATACGGTTCATTTTTTGATCGAACTGCCTGGTGTGATATTAATCCTGAACTATACATGGTAAGTTTTCTTTGAGTTGATTATACCAAACCATCTGATGTAGTAATTTATCGTTTTACTGGTATGATAATATATATATCCTAGTGTATTCATGTTAAGTTTTGCCATTTGAGTTAAATTTTATACAGAAAAGTGGATATTGACAAGAAGAAATGAAGAATTACATGATACAATTTGTTTAATTTATTCGTTTATAGCAGGAAATCAGATTCTTCGTGATATCATTGTTAAAGTGCTCAAGATTGCAGTATTGTGTGTGGACCGTGGAGAGAAAATGCTAATTGAAAGCCAAAAACATCAGAATCAAGTAGTGCATAAATTAATTAGAACCATGTAACAACTTACAAGAGAGGACTATTATTTGTTTAATTGTTTCAGCAAACAGACAAAAGATTCCGTTAAACATGCGGTGTTTGTTCAATGTTGTGTAATTTTCAATTTTAGAGTCTTTGTTAGTGATCGACTGGGACTTTTCATCCAGGATCATTAAATTTCTCTTGAAGGTGCTAGAGTAATGTTACTCTCAAGCAACATACAAGTGTCTTATCTTGAAAGTGATTAATGTGAATTAGTAATTAACAGCAATTATTATCAAGAGAGTGACTAATTAATATAAATTTATGCTTAGAAGTCAGGCAAGGTCTATTAAATTGCAATTATAATTTTTTTTTTTTTTTTTGTCTTCTTGTAGTCTTAGCTTTTGTATTTAGATCATGAATGTATAATATGCATATTGTGTGGTCTTACATTAAATAGAATTGGTGTTGTATTTAATNTTTATCCTTTCAACCAAACATATTATTATAACATACCCACCAATTTATTTCAACCAACTAAACACATTTCTCTAAAAATTCCCTAGTAATCTATCTTTCCAGTAATATAATATTCCCTGAACTAAACGTACCCTAAGAGTAAAGATATATTCCGACCCAAGGTTTGGTGAATCTACCGTTCCCACCCTGGTTTCATACATTCTAAATGCCTATCCTTGAATTAACAAAATGGTTTAATGGAATGGTTAAAGGTAAAGGTGTCATTTATACTGCTTTAAAGTTGAAATAAAAATAAAAATTTCAAAATAACCCTTCACATCTCAAATTTCTCTCACAAGCACCCTCCACATCTCAAGTTTGAAATCAGACGATCATACCTCTACAACAGAAACGCTACTTGGCAGCTCGTGGATGGCAAATGACGAGTGGGGGAGGATGGTGGAGGTGTGGGTTTTGTTGTGGAGAGGATGAGGATTCGAATGGTTGTGAAAAGGGTATTTTCGATGTCAAAATCAATTGGAATCTGATCGTAAACTTGGAGAATTGAACGAGATTGCAGGGGCTCTCGGTCGGCGATTTGTGGGTGCATTGGGGTGGGAGTGTGACGTATTTTGGTGATTGTGGCATGCAGATTCTGATGGTGGTAACGGGGGAGCTTGGTGATGTCGAAATCGGCTGGAAATGGCTTGGAAGTGGTAGTGGTTAAGAGGAAAAGTTGCTTGGTGGGCAACGGTCATGCAAGGGTGGAGGGTATCGCTCCCAGTCTCCTTTGCACCGCTGCTGCCATTGGCTTTATGGTGCCGATTGTGGTGGCTAGGGTTTGCCCAACTTGTAGGGGTGCGATGGACAAGCTTCCATCTTTCAGGGAGGTTTTTGATATTTAGCCGCCATAATTAAAAGTAAAAGTTAAAGGGCAGTTTGGTAATAATACATTATGTATTATATCAAAACCTAAAAATCACTAATGGTATTAATTTAAGAGTGGGAATCTAGAATTTATGAAATCATAGGTAGAAACTTGTAGATTCGCCAAACATTGGGTGGGAAAATGTTGTTTACTCAACAATTTAATGTTGAAAAATACAAATATGGAGAGTTAATTGTATTATTCCCTTGGGTTTGGGTCACGGGAATTCGGACACGTTTATCTATTTCAATATGAGAAGGCGTCACTAATAGGCAAATGATATATGGTAAATTTCATTTAGGTCGATAAGGAATCCTAAAACTAGGGTCTTCACTGATATTTAAGAAAAATAAGTGGATAACAAATATTTCCTTTTCAACATTAAATTGTTTACTCAACAATTTAATGTTGAAAAATAGTATTATTCCCTTGGGTTTGGGTCAAGGGAATTCGGACACTTTTATCTATTTCAATCTGAGAACGCGTCACTAATAGGNTGGTTTAATGCAATGAAATGGGACTATCATATTGATCCGGAGATTGAGCACTATTCTTGCATGGTCGATCTTTTTGCACGTGCTGGTTGCCTTGAGGAAGCAGTGAAACTAATAGAACAGATGCCCTTTGAGGCAGATGCAAGCATGTGGTCATCAGTCTTAAGAGGTTGTGTGGCCCATGGAGATACGAATCTCGGGAAGAAGGTGGCAGAACATATCATTGAACTTGATCCCGAGAATTCAGGTGCTTATGTACAGCTTTCAAGCATATTTGCCACCTCTGGGGAGTGGGAAAAATCATCTCTAGTCAGAAAGGTAATGAGGCAGAGGCAAGTGAAAAAGAATCCTGGTTACAGCTGGGCTGATGGTTGAACAAGACATTTTCACAGGGGTAAATCAATTAGACGATGAGACTTCTTAAGGAGAGCATGTTATGCATGCATGAATGGATTTAACCAAGATCTATAGTGAGCCCAAATAAATTATTTTGATATCCATTTCAAATGCTTACACAATTTACAATCAAGATCTTATCACCTCCACAAAATAGTTGCTTGTGCTCCAGCCATATAGCATCTTCTATCTGCTTTGCGATTTTGGTAAAGTGACTGTATTCTGTTATATTTTATGGTAACTTCATCTGTGGCATTGCTTAAACTATTTGTTTACTAATATCATGTTTTTGCAGCTGGCTTTTCTGTTGATCAGGGCACTTTTATGAAAATTCAGTGAACATGTTTGGCTTCTGTTTTGCTATTATTGAACCGAAAGTTCCAATGGTGAGGCTTTCATCTTCATTAGGAAAAAAACACATTCTTGGAGCTTGACTTGGTATCACGTTCACTGGTTCAACCATGTGCAGTCCTTTACCAGTTAGTTTGAGAAGATTATTTTACCCTGGGATGGCAACAGTTTTAGGTTGTATACTTATCAGAGGCAGGTAATTCATACGCAGAGTGCGATGGCCATTTAGGAATGTCTCGGCTTTTGCTACTGTTGCTATCTGGACCAACTGGGAATTTGTTTGTTACATGTGACTGAAATTTAGTTTACAACTTATCATTTGCTGATACTTTTTTTGCAGCGGGCTTACAGTTACATGTTGATCTGACTGATTCATGGGAACTCGGCCAACCAGAAAACTATACACAAGTCCAACTTGGCCATAGCAAGAAAGCTGCTTGTTTTCTCTGTCATCAAGCTTTTTTCTTGGTTGTAGGAAATGCTGTCCCAAGAGTTATCAACTATAAACCATCTTCATCACCCAAAGGTGGTCGTAGCCTGCAATGAAAATTTGTTGGGTTTTCCAATGTTTATGGGGTGTCATGGATTATGTTCTTGTTTCCACAATTTGTAAATGATTAATTTGTTGATAATTTCATCAGATAATAACTGCTACTGCTTTCGTAAGCCACGAAACTGATCATTCTATAACAAAAATTAAGACGGAAAAATCTTTTTTCATTAACACAGAGTATCTGATAATATAACATCTATAAAATATTTTTCATTTTTTCAGAAAAGATTTATCACGTTTCAACTATTACCTTTGTAAAATATATCTGAGTTTATTTCATGTATTCGAACTTGAGATTGTTACTTGAGATACAAGAGAATGTTATAAAATCATTTAATCCGAAACTAGAGTTATTAAAATATTGAATTATTTTAATATTGTATAATTGCAGTATTGATGTGTATAAAAATTATAACTCAATAGAGGTGTAGTTACACAAATTTCTTATTTCATAATTCATGTTTTAGTATTACAATATTAGGATTTCGATTCATGTTTTAATAGTATTAGGGTTTCAATTCAGCACTTCAATTACCTACTTTTGAAAAAGACAGAAGATCGTGTCTTGGAATCAATAAAGATAACTATCTTTGATAGAATTATAAATACAATTGATGCATGATCAATTGATGTGAAGCCACAAACAATTGCCAATTATTTTAAGCATTACAAAATTAGGAGTCCCGATGTTGATGAATTGCAGGTTACAATTGAAGTGGATAAGGAGAATTAAAGAGTCATTATAGAATTGATTGATTAGATTCGACAATTTCACTACATTAATCAAATGGATATTAATATCTTCCTTAATTATCCAAATGAGCATCAAGTCATGTATGCTTTAACAAAAGAATAAATCATTGCTACAAATAGACAAGAAGAGAAATGAAATAATTATGAGGATGATAGTATGGAAATACAAAAAGTTTTGTACTAAGAAGCTCTAAACATACTTGAAAAGCTATAAATATTTTGGCTTCAACAAGAAAATGTCAATGCTAGCAAGTAATGTACTTGCAAATTAAAAGATGTGATAACAACTCTAAAGCATAAATTATTGTCCTAAACAACTTTAGATAAATATTTTATTTCATCTTAAACATTTAATGTAACATAATATATTTCTTTTTTACAATATACATATAATTATTACTATGTGCAGACAACTTTCCTTCAGACGGGAATTAAAAAAATTATAACTTATTACAATGTAGAGTTTGTTCTTATTTATAACAATCCCAAATTGGGAATATAATTTTTTATGACTATATAGAGTTTATTCATATATAGAGTATCACTATAAAGAAGTTTTACCGTATATTGGTTTGAGTAACTTATGTTTTATTTGCCAAACCTACCAAGTAGTAACTTCTCCTAACCAAATTGAGATCAACTAGAACTGTTTTCTGGTTGCGTTTGGTTCAGGGTAATATAAAATTAATCTTGTAATTTTTGTTTAATTTTCAAGATTTCTTTGTTTGGTTGTCAAGTAATAAAATATTACGTAATCTTTTAATGTAAATAGTATTTATTGTTAGTAATATTAGGGGTAATTAGATTACCTTCCCAATGGGTGTTAATATAAGATTACCGAGGTAATCTTAATTTTGACCATATTTTGCCTTTAATATTTTATCATTTCGGCACATTTGCCCTCATATGTCTATCAAATAACAATTAACCTAGACCTCTTATATTTGAGAATTTAGTTAAAACACTCCAACCACAAAAAGTTTAAAAATTAACAAAATACGTCTAGCCATCCAAGATCACCATCGATTGCTAGCCACCACTGTTGGGCGCAGGTGAAAGTCATCATATCGGCACGAGACCAACATGATTTTACTAGTCATGTGTCGATAAGGATGTTTCCGATCGTGAAAAAGCCAGATCTTTGGCTGCGAAACAACCATATTCACGATCAAATCTAGCCATTTCTAACCAAATCTATGGTCGAATTAGGCTTTACAGGCGCATGACCAACTAGATCCGACTGATCGTATGTCATTACTGCAGTTGCTGACAGTGGCTTGTGGTGAGTGAGAGTAATTTTACTATAAATTAAAATTTTATATAATTGAGGCGTTTTAACAAAATTTCAGACTAAGAGGTTAAAAGAAAAAATTAAAAAAATATAAAATAAAATAATATTAAATTATTATTTAAAAATGATGATAAGTAATTTATATAATATGCTCACTTTACCCTCCCAAATAAATATATTATTATAACAAATTACCAATTTATTTTAACCCCACAAAAACATTTATCTGAAACTTTTTTAATAATCTATTTTTTCAGTAATGTAACATTCATAACGTTAATCCTGTAATAAGACATCTTAAACTGCTAAATAAATTCAATCCCTTTAGAGATGGAAGAAGAAGGTGAACCTGCAGCAACGATCATGGTATTTGAAACGGTATATTTCATTCACAATGATTTCTAGTAGAACTTAATTTTTATGTACCCATATCTGAAAAAACTTCATTTTGACAAAGCCTCACTCTCTTATTACTCTAAACTAATAGATCACAGTTTATCCCTCAAGTCATTTGATTTTGCAAAAAGCATCCATGCCCAGTTGATAAAAGTCGGGTTCAATGGCCATACTTACCTGGGTAACCGCTGCCTCGATTTATATTCTCGGTTTGGTGTTGTTGATGATGTTTTGGAGGTGTTTGACGAAATTCCAGAGAAGAATTGCATATCGTGGAATATTTGTTTGAAGGGTTTGTTGAAAGTTAATCAGTTTAGTACTGCACGTAAGCTGTTTGATGAAATGCCTGAACGAGATGTCGTCAGTTGGAATTCTATGATTTCGGGTTATGTCTCCTGTGGGTATTTTAAGTTTGCGTTGGAACTGTTTCGTAAAATGCAGAATGATGGTGTTAGACCTAGTGGGTTCACTTTCTCGATTATGTTATCCTCTGTGTCAAGTGCTATTTATGGTAAGCAAATGCATGGTGCTATACTTAGGAGAGGTGGGAGTTTATCGAATGTGGTGCTTGGGAATTGTTTAATTGTTATGTATGGGAAGCTTGGTTTTCTTGACTATGCATTTGGTGTGTTTTTTACTATGGAGGAGTTGGATATTATCTCTTGGAATTCATTGATTTCAGGGTGTTTGAAATCAGGCTATGGAGAACTGGCATTGGATCGGTTTTGTTTGATGAGATCCTCAGGGTATTTAGCTGACGAGTTTACAGTCTCTACTATAATGACTGCCTGTTCTAATATGCAAAATTTGGAAAAGGGTAAGCAAATTTTTGCTCTCTGTGTCAAGGTGGGATTTCTTTGTAATTCCATTCTTTTGAGTGCTACTATTGATTTGTTTTCCAAATGCAACAGATTGGAGGATTCGGTTATGCTATTTGGAGAGCTAGATCGATGGGATTCTGCAATTATCAATTCTATGATTTCAAGCTATGCAAGGCATGGTTTTGGGGAGGATGCTATGCAACTTTTTGTGCTCAGCTTGAGGGAGGATTTTAGGCCAACTGAGTTCACACTAAGCAGTGTTGTAAGTTCTACTACAGATCTTCCAGTCGAGTGTGGAAGTCAAGTACATTCCTTGGCAATCAAATTAGGTTTTGAGTCCGATGCAGTTGTTGGCAGCTCACTCATTGATATGTACAGTAAATTTGGTTCAGTTGATTCTGCCATGAAAATTTTTGTTGACATGGAGATAAAAGATCTGATATCCTGGAACACCATCATTATGGGCTTGTCTCACAATGGTAGATTGGCTCAGACGCTGGATATGTTTAACGAACTACTTAAGTACGGTCCATATCCAGATCAAGTAACACTAGCTGGGGTTCTATTAGCTTGCAACTATGGTGGTTTTGTTGATGAGGGAATGATCATATTTTCATCGATGAAAGAGGTATATGGTGTGATACCTGGTGATGAGCATTATGTTTGCATTATTGACTTATTGTGTCGAGCTGGGAAACTGAGGGAAGCAACAGATGTGATAAAAACAATGCCGTATGAACCCAGTTATTTAATTTGGGAATCAATACTCCGTGCTTGTGCAATATACGGAGACCTGAAACTCCTTGAAAATGTAGCAGAGAGGATGATGGACTTGCAACCAGAATCACTTCTACCTTATTTGCTGTTGGCTCAGGCATATGAGATGAGGGGCAGATGGGAGGGCGTAGTCAGAGTGAGGAAGGCCATGAGACAGAAAGGTGTGGTGAAGAAGGTGACTGGATGCAGTTGGATTGGAATAAGAAATCATTTATATACTTTTAATGCTGAACAATTACAGCATCATGGCGGCAAAGAAATTTATTTATTCTTGAGATTACTGATATGGGAGATGGAGGATGAAGGTTGTGTATATTTACAGCACGATAAATTGGATGCTGCTGGAGAGTAACAGCATGGTGCAACTAAAGAGATGGAAATTCTTCATGTTCATATCGAAGTTGTAGTTTTGTGGATACTTCCTCTGTTATAGCCATTAACTATGCGATGACAGATTATAAAATATCAGTACCTACTGACAGTGTTAGAGCTGTGGGGGTGTGCGTAAACCCAATACTAATGAAGATCAGTTTTCTGATACGGTTCATTTTTTGATCGAACTGCCTGGTGTGATATTAATCCTGAACTATACATGGTAAGTTTTCTTTGAGTTGATTATACCAAACCATCTGATGTAGTAATTTATCGTTTTACTGGTATGATAATATATATATCCTAGTGTATTCATGTTAAGTTTTGCCATTTGAGTTAAATTTTATACAGAAAAGTGGATATTGACAAGAAGAAATGAAGAATTACATGATACAAATTGTTTAATTTATTCGTTTATAGCAGGAAATCAGATTCTTCGTGATATCATTGTTAAAGTGCTCAAGATTGCAGTATTGTGTGTGGACCGTGGAGAGAAAATGCTAATTGAAAGCCAAAAACATCAGAATCAAGTAGTGCATAAATTAATTAGAACCATGTAACAACTTACAAGAGAGGACTATTATTGGTTTAATTGTTTCAGCAAACAGACAAAAGATTCCGTTAAACATGCGGTGTTTGTTCAATGTTGTGTAATTTTCAATTTTAGAGTCTTTGTTAGTGATCGACTGGGACTTTTCATCCAGGATCATTAAATTTCTCTTGAAGGTGCTAGAGTAATGTTACTCTCAAGCAACATACAAGTGTCTTATCTTGAAAGTGATTAGTGTGAATTAGTAATTAACAGCAATTATTATCAAGAGAGTGACTAATTAATATAAATTTATGCTTAGAAGTCAGGCAAGGTCTATTAAATTGCAATTATAATTTTTTTTTTTTTTTTGTCTTCTTGTAGTCTTAGCTTTTGTATTTAGATCATGAATGTATAATATGCATATTGTGTGGTCTTACATTAAATAGAATTGGTGTTGTATTTGATAGTTCAATAGAATTCTACGCTAAATATAATTGGGGCGTTTGGTGCATTATTATAATGTGGTACTATAATGTATATGCATTGACAACTTATACATCGTATACGTTAGTACAGTAAAAGTCAATCACACATAGTATTGTATTATTTAATACTATACTGTCTTTAAGACTAGGTAATGTCATATAATTGACCTATAAAGTTATTACAATACATTGTATTACATTATTTAGTAGTACATCATACACCAAACAACTTCGCAGACAATAAAATTACCTTTATTAATGTGAAATAAAATATTTCAATAATCAATTATCATTGGATGACCTGATAATGGTAGAAGAGTAAAAAGAGGTTTCATTAATTACTGAATTCGAATTTCTTCGGACACTAATAAGGATGCGACTGACTAGATAACCTCGGTGATAAAAAAAAAGAAAAAAAAAATCAATAATCCACATCAATGTACATTTATTGAAGGGGAAGATAAATTTTGTATTAATCTTTTTGGATTCCCAGTCCCCACGTTAAAGCTTTGGCCAAACTTGTAGGAAGGAATTATTGAGCTACCCAAGTCTCCTCTCCCCACGTTACAGCTTTGGCCGAACTTGTAGGATGGAATTATTGAGCGTAAATCTCATCCTTCATGTAGAGTTGATATCTCTCTCTCTCATTTTCTAATTAAAGCAATTGTATTCTATACTTCATAAAATTTAGAGGAGATTTTCACTCTTTTACGATCCTATAAGAGCTCTATCTCCCTTAAATCTTTTTTATATTAAATATGACCATACTTGGATAGGGAGGAGTGAGCTGTCATGTCCAAAAAGCACTGCAATTTTGTTCCTTCATATATCTTCTAAAATTAGCCCTGGACGCAGACAAAGCCGTTTGTGATAAGAATTTATCCACTCTCTTTAGCATCTTAAATCATTTTTTCTTCTTCTTTCTTCAATCATTTATGGCGACCATCTGGCTGCGAAGATCAAGAACCATAGCCCAAACTCTAAAGCACAAATATGGTTTAAAAGGAATCCTTGGCCTGGAGAGTAGCAATTCCTTTCAACGTTTGCATGCTTCTGCTCCTTCTTCAACAAATCATGATCGGCACTTACTTGTTTCTGCATACAAATACTCAACCACCATTGTCTCTGATAAGCGTCTTAAATCAACAGTTGCTCTGAAACATCTGGATTCCACGGCGTTTGCTAGTGACAGCGACGATGAGCAGGTAACTCTCAATTCTCTTTTTCGTTCATTGAATTTGATAAAAGGAATAGGTTAATCAATATAACAAAAATCATCGGTAGATTATTGAAGATGAATTGCTTACAGAGTTGTTATTAATTCATGGTAGTTAAACATGAAAAACTGTTGAATTTAATTTTCATTTTCAATCAGTGAAATCAAATGAACACGTGCCTACACAGACATAACCTCTACGTGAAATATGCTCCATCATATATATATATATATATATATATATTTTTTTTTTTTTATAACTGCGTATTCGGGTCGTTAATACATATTCCAGATAAACCACAAATGTGATAGGTGATCTCAAATTGGTTTAAACTTAAAAAATCAATAAAATGATTAAACTTTATTGATCACAAGGCCAATCCTTTAGGATTAACAGCTGGTCACCAAACTATGAAATTGTCAACACTTTTTACTTAGAGCCACCACACAAAATTGAAATACTTAGATTGTTCAATTAAAGCATATTGTATGACTGATAATTTTATTTGAACTATGGGTGTGGCGTGATTGAGAACACTCCACTTCAAAGAGGATAAACCTTAACCGTCCACGTTCCGCCTTCGGGTGATCCTTATCCCAGGTTTGATTAATTTGTCACTGCCACGATGGCTCTAACCAAACGGGAAAAACATGTAAAAACAATAACAATTGTACAAGGAAAAAGAAAAAGGAAGAGACCGCACACGTGGATTAGGCAGACCCATAAAACAAGTTAGATTTGACACTTAACAATTAAATTGCGTTACATTTGTATCCTCATCGAAATCTATATTATTCAATTTGTCCCATTACCCCCAAACCTTTTTGGGCACCACTCACACGTGTAACATCACATTCTTCTCAGTCTTAACTTCATTCAATAATTGACTTCACATTATATTATATTATATTATATATGATTTTGTGTAGTTTGTAGTAATAGTTATATACCTACTCTCTTACTTGAAACCACATTTCTTTATTATTAGCCTTAATCAGTAACTTAATTATGATTATATAAACAAAAGTGAATACAGATAGTCCCTTAAAATCAGAAAGCGGACTTTACAGACTTGAACTTTTAACAATGCCGTCCAAGACACAACTGCTTAGCTTTTCTGTTTTTGTTCTTTGATCAAAACAATAACCCAGAACTAAATTCTTGTCTTCTTCTCCGGGCCTACCGGTTTCATAATTTTCCTCAGTTTGATTACTTTGATTTTCATGGCTTTCTGCTCGGCCTTCCCATGAAAATTTTCCCATCATTTTATTACAAACAAGTGTTTTTTAGGATTAATTTTGAAAAAAGGCTTAATCAATTGTGGTCACATTGCTAGTTTAGTTGGTGAAATTGATAAAATTAATTCAAAGGGAGGATTTGGTTATGGAAGAATACTTTGCTCTTCTGTTGCTCTAGTACAACAACATTTGCTTCATGATGAAATTAATCTAATTTTCTGTACTGGAATTAATCCATTGACTGTTTTTGATATTGAAATGAATTTCAATAGTTACATTATGAATCTCTTGTATTGTGGCAGGCCTTGGATTTCCCTGGTGGAATGGTTTCATATACTTCTGAAATGCGATTCATTTCCGAGTCTCAGGAAAAAAGAATTCCCTGTTATCGAGTTCTTGATGACAATGGAGAGATTATCAATGGCAGTGATCTTGAACTGGTACCTCTGTCTTCTGCAAGTAATAAATTATAGATTTTATTTAATTTTTTCTACCCTAGGTTAGATACCAAGTTTCCAGCTGTTTGGGTTCTCTAGGTGAGCAAGGAAGTTGCAGTAAAGATGTACAATGACATGGTCACACTTCAAATGATGGACAACATCTTCTATGAAGCACAGAGGCAAGGAAGAATTTCTTTTTATCTTACCTCAATGGGTGAAGAAGGTATCAGCATAGCCTCTGCAGCTGCACTTAGTACCGAGGATTATATATTGCCCCAGGTAACTATAAGCCTTTTATTTACAATTCATTGCCGCCTAAACTCCCACAATCTTAAAACAATTGGATTATATGACAGTACCGTGAGCCCGGAGTTCTGTTGTGGCGAGGTTTCACAATACAAGAATTTGCCAACCAACTGTTTGGAAACAAGGCTGATTATGGGAAAGGCCGGCAGATGCCAATTCATTATGGCTCTAACAAGCACAACTATATCACCATATCATCGCCTATCGCGTAAGATATTTAGTTCAGATTAGAAAACTTCAATTACGGTCTTGTTTAGATTTCTTCAATTATCATGTGCATGGTAACTTCTCTGATTATATTCAATGCAAATTATATGTTTCAGTACACAACTTCCTCAAGCTGTTGGTGTTGCTTACTCTCTTAAAATGGATAAAAAGGATGCATGTGTAGTCACATATACTGGAGATGGCGGTACCAGTGAGGTAACTGCAACATAGCATAATTTCTCATACTCTCTTTTTTTTAATTGTTTAGTGAGACTATATTTGTCCATCAGTTTCTAACTGTTAATTGCTATTTCTTCAGGGAGATTTTCATGCAGCTTTGAACTTTGCAGCAGTTACGGACGCCCCTGTTGTTTTCATCTGTCGCAACAATGGCTGGGCCATTAGTACCAATGTATCAGAACAATTTCGAAGTACTATTTTCATTGATCTATAAACATCTATCTCATTTTACAGTAAATTAATTCCAGGATCAGCTATGATGTCACACAATTACATATGACATATTGTTCTGGCAGGCGACGGTGTTGTGGTTAAGGGTCAAGCTTATGGAGTCCGAAGCATACGGGTAGATGGAAATGATGCACTTGCTGTTTACAGCGCAATTCACAGTGCTCGCAAAATGGCTATTAGTGAACAGAGACCTGTATTGGTGGAGGTGAGATTGAACTCCTTTTAGAACTACTTTGTTGCATAGCATCTACTTGCTGATTAAATTGCCAAACTAGTGCTATCTTTGGAATCAAAATATTGTATATACCAATTAAATTGTACTCGTTCAGTTGTTGACGAATTGAACTTGTTCCAACTTTCAGGCACTTACATACAGAGTAGGACACCACTCTACATCTGACGACTCCACCAAGTATCGGCCAGTTGATGAAATTGAATATTGGAAATCGGCAAGGAATCCTGTAAATAGATTTAGAAATTGGGTTGAAAGCAATGGCTGGTGGAGTGACACTGAAGAAACCGAGCTTCGAAGCAGCCTGAAAAAGCAGGTAAAAATTAGTGACATCATTTACAGTCTCTTTAACAATGTCAAAGCAATTTTATTCTTTAAATACTAAAATAAATATACTTCCTGCAGTTGTTGCAGGCAATTCAAGCTGCAGAGAAAACAGAAAAACCACCAGTTTCAGACTTGTTCTCTGATGTTTATGATGTTCCCCCATCAAACCTTCGCGAGCAGGAGAATCAGCTCAGAGAAACTATCAATAAATACCCACAAGACTACCCCTCTGATGTTCCCGTATAGACAGATGAAATGTGAAGAAATTAATACTACTAGTCAAAATCTAATAATGAAAGCTGTTATGTGTTGAAGCTATCGTTATGTTAACAGCTTTCGTTATGTGTGTACACCTTAATATTAATAAAGCAGCAATTATTCAGTGCAATTTTATATGATTTTTGTCATTGTAGCATATTTGCTTAAACTTTTACCGAATCATGTAAGACAAATTTTCAGAAATTTACAGAAATACCAACACTGCGGTGATAAAAGAAAGAATAAATTATTTATCACTTGGAGTGGCTTCCAATGCTTGAGATTCTTCAAATATTTGATGATCTCAAGTCAATAAATTATATATTATATGGGATTTGTGATTTGTGATTGATCAAAGCTTGTGGATAATGTATATGTATAAGCATTAAATCACTTTTTTACTTCTTAATTCACTAAAAACAAATAAGCTTTTTTATATGAAAAGTCAAATATATTCCTATTTGATCATAACATTTTTGAAAATAAAATTATATTATCAAAAAAGTTAAAAAAACAAATAAAAATAAAATTATAAACATATCACATCATCTATGTACCTAATCAATATATTTAATCATCCATTACGACCGAAACTTCTATTTATATACATAATTAATATATTTTACATCATCCATTACTACTCCTCAAACTTCTTTGAAAGTAAAAATTGAATATTAACATATTTATTTTCTTGTTGACACTGATATTTCCAAGCAAAAACTTTCTAGCTCTACTACTATTACCCTGTTCAAACCCAACTTGTAGTAATATGAGTTCCAGCACAGGCCTGGGTGCTTAACAGGGTATGATCAGTCTATGCTTATAACTAGCATTTTGTGAGATTATGTCAGTAACTCAGCCTACAATCAAGAAGAAATAAAGGAAATAAATAAATAAGCAATCTTAGCACACAAATACAGTGCAATTTTCTGTCTTAAAGCGCCTCGCAATCTTCTCCTTGTCTTTGGTTTGGACAGCGCCAATTTCTGGTTTATATATGTATACTGTTCGAATATCCAAAAGCATATCTCATATGCTATCCTCATTCCTCAAAAATTCCTCTCCCCAGTGTCAAACAGGAAGAGATAAACGTTTAAACAAATAAAACAAAACTTGATCATTCTACCGAAATTCAGATGATTGGGTAGCCAATCGAATCCTTCATCAATTTTCCCATGCTCTACGAAACCCTTTGAACTGGTTTACGCTCTTTAAAACCCCGTAATCGTTGTTACTATTATCTTCAAAGAAAAAGACTTAGCTAGCCAGTTGATTTGTTGTGTCTCTCGAGTTAGTTATGGAGACTCCTCCTTCACCATCCTATGTTGTGATAGCATATGATGCAACTAAGGAACGAGGTCAAGATGAGCTTAAGGTCACTGTGAATAGAATCAGACTGAGAGGAGACATTCTTCGTGGAGGTGATACCCTTCTTGTGCTTGGCGTTTTGCATAGGGTCACTCACCCCTGTAAGTCTTTGATGGATTGCTTCCATAATTATATCAACACTATTATTTACTTTGATTATCGTGCTTATATGTTCTCAACTGGGTTTTCTGATACCTTTGAGTTGTATTCATTATTGCTTTTACAAGGTGCATGAAGCCACGGTTTCCAAAGTGCAAAACTAAATACAGGTTTAACAATAACGCACCTTTTTAACTTTGATATAATCAAAACATAAATGAGAAGTTCATTGAAATAAGTACTTAACTCATCAGTTAAAGGGTAATTGTTCTACTTAATTTGTATAAAAAGTATGTTCAATTATAGTCCATTTTAAGGGTGGAATAAATGGTTGTTTACCCAAAACTCTAATCCGTTTGAGATTCCATGAAAGCTAAAGAGGTGTGTCTATAATTAACCACTAATTAAATCCACTGTTTATTCATTTGTGCATATATAAAAGCATAAACTACGTCCATAAGATGATTTGTGGTCTTATAACTAATTAGATTCAAGTGTAATAACTCACTATGTAACTTTATTTATTTGTTTTGGGTTGGTATAGTGGGTTACCAAGCCAAAGCATGTACCGGAAACTTTGGAACGAGTGTTCGTGCTATGGAGGAAGAAGTTAAAAAGAAAGCAGATGCATTTGCTAAAATGCTTCTTCATAGTGCTGACGCGTTTGAAGATGAAGGGGTAATACATATGCTATAGATTGTTTGAATATTGATACGAGAGTTTTTATCAGTTACTACTCTTGGATTTTGTTTGTAATTTTAATATGTTTTTTCATGTTTAGGTCAATATTGAAGTTAAAATTACTGCTGGGACTCCCCTTAAGAAGGTTATACTGCAAGAGGTTTTAGCGTGTAAAACAACTTGGGTCGTACTTGATAGGTACTTTAATTTCTCTACATTCGATTATTCCTCTGTTCTTAGTCTAGAAGGCTATGCATGCCCTGTATATTCTTTTACTGTTCAACCATTTTTGCCACTCTATTTATAATTTATAGGTGTTTAATTATCATTATATTAAATTAATGCAATCAATCAAATAACTCTTTATTTCCTTGTTATATGTTATGTGTATGACGTGCTCAATTTTTTTTTTCCCTAATCAACATTTGGCTTCCAGTAGTAACTTGCACATCCTGCAGGCACCTTAAGAGGGATCTGAGGTATTATCTTAAACAAATACCTTCGAAGGTTGCAATGATTACAGATACCTTGGCTGTGGAAGTTTTTAGGTCTCATGCAACAAATGAAAGAGGTGCACCTATAGAGCACAACTTGCTTTACTCCTTCTCAAAGCCAGTTCCCCGTCGTGAAAATGTTGATCAGCAGTCTATCTCTATCAAAAGCTATTCTCATGAAATCTACAGCTCCGAGGACAGCAATATGATGTCTTCATCCAGTTATGGTTTACCGGAGCAATATTACTTTCCATTTGATTCTGGCGCTCACTCTAAGCAAGAAAAATCAGGTCAGTAAGTCTTTCATATTTATTGAACTGAAAAATTAATTTATTGGTTTTCTCAATTTGCTTCATTTAACATCGAAGAATGATATTTTTCTTTATGAGAAACAAAAATATACATATTTTTTTTAAGTGTAAAAAGTTAGAAAATTATGATGATATAATATTATGCTATTGCTTTGTGATTTCAGTTACATTTTTGTCACCTCTGCGTAAGTAAAAGTCATATTGTTTATATTCCAGGCGTGAATAATAAAGAAGAGCATAAACTTTCGTCAACTTCTCAGAGGATAAAAATTTCACAGAATAAGAATCTCTTGCGAAAGAGATCCTCAGGAGTTCCTATTCTTTGTGCTGCATGTGGGCTGAGGACTGAGTTGTATATCAAGGATTCTATTAAGTACAGTTTTCCCGACGTTCATCTTGCAACAAATGATTTATCAGAGGAATATGATTTAATTCGAGAGGGTGGATTTGGTATATCGAAACCCACAAGACTACCCCTCTGATGTTCCTTTATAGACAGAGTAAATGCGAAGAAATTAAGACTGCAAGTCAAAATCCAATAACAGAAGCTGTAGAGTTTTGAAGCTGCCGTTATGTGTACAGCTTGATATTAATAAAGCAACAGTTATTAAGTTCAATTCTATATGATTTTTGTTATTATACCATTTTGCTTAAACTTTTCCCTTCACGAATCAGTTGGTTATGTAAGGCAAAATTTCAGAAATTTACAGATTTACAAACACTGCATAGATAAAAGAGAGAATACATAATGTATCACTTAGTGTGTTGATAATCTCAAGTTAATATCTATTGGGGATTTGTGATCGATCTGTTGGAGTTGTCGACTACTTCAGCATTAATGGGTAACGCAGACGCATTCAGGGGTCCCGCTGTAGGATTTTTTTTAAGTTACTAATTCCTTATTGGGTTGGGCTTAGGAATATGAATCCTTGTAAAACTAGGTTTAGTGTCACAGGGCCTATTTTTCGCCTCTAGGCACTGCGCGGCACAAGCACACCGAGCACTTGTAAGCCTACCTCAAGTTGTGCGTTCCCCCCTGTTACAAATCACAAACACAATACAACAGAGGCTAAAGAGAGTCAATGCACAACATATACGGGAAATTCCCAACCTTATATTATATATCCGAATACAAGGATAACTCAAGCACACACACAGTGTTTTCCCACCGTTTACAATCTGATCCTCACTCACAGATTCGCACTCAAGTTACAACAAGGCTTACAAACACATAACCCTTGCCCTTTCACTCTCTATATCACGAATGTGACATCTGCCAGCCTTATATACAAATGGCACAGCAGTTACATAACAGTTTTACAGTCTTATCAGCAGTTACATGACAGTTGCTTTACATACAAATGAACCTGGACACATCTAACTACCCCACAGCCTTGGTCCAGCAACCATGCAGCCTTGTCTGATTGTTTCCATCATCTAGTGCACACTCACATGCACCTCACGCACGTAGCTTTCTGTCTCATGCATGAACTCAGCCGCCCATTAGTTGTCTTGCATGTTTGCACACGTCCCAGCTCGTGTGCCACTGTCTAGCCTGCTCCTGAGCACATACGACCATGTTAAAACATGCCCACACGCACATGTTACAACTTGCAAGTGCCCACCCCCGCAGGCCATTTCATCAGTAAAGTGTTTGGCGTCCCAACACTCAAACACCCCACGCCTGATCTCAGCCATCCTTGTTCAACACACACCCGTGTGTTGTCTTGGCGAGGCTGTGGCTAAGGATGAAAGCCACACGCATGCCCTTGCCCTTTGTAAGGGTCTTATATTTAGTCTCTTAAACCTAGTATATAAATAAACTTTTCTCTTGTTATGGGTGTGATAGCAAATCATAGGGCAATCCATTCATTGTAAACGAGAGAGGTGAGACATATTGCAATAATATTGACTCAACTGGACGTAGCCCACATTGGGTGAACCAAGGTAAATTACGCGTGTTATTTTCCTTGTTTACTGTTTGATTTGTTTTACTGTTATATTTTGTTCTTGTTGTTGCCTCTATTTCGTTCACGATCAAAGGGTCTTCATCATGTATTTTAGTTAATTTGAAGATTTGATTTGTTGATATGTTTAAGTGAAATAACAATGAACTTATTAATGATTTTTATATATTTGAAATTCGTCTTGATTCTATCGTAAATAAGAATAATACTACATATATATCATTCTCATACAATATTTCTCATACAATATTTCTCATACAATATTATGTGGCAAGATATGAATGGATGAAAGTTTAATTTTAACTTTAAATTAGTCAATCATATCTTGCCACATAATATTGTATGAAAATTATGTATGTGTAGTATTACTCCGTAAATAAAACGTTTTTAAACGGAATAAAAAACGTAGTATCAAAGATTTAAATTAAAAGTTTAAAGAAAAAAATCTCTAATATAATAAACATATCACATTATGTGTATACTCTATATTCAAGTTATCCATTATGCACCTCCAAAACTCCCTTTGAAAGTAAAAAATAAATATTAACATTTTAATTTTATTATTGACACTGGCATTTCTAATAAGCAAAAACTTTTTAGCTCTGTTACTTCTACACTGTTCGAATCCAATTTGGTAGTAATATGAGGGGCGGTATAGTCATGGGCGCCCAGCTCTGCACGGCAGTGTCTGCTTATAATAAGCATTTTGTGAGATAATGTCAGTAACTCAGCCAATGTCAAACAGGAAGAGAGAAACGTAATCTTAACGCAAACACAATGCAGTTTTCTGTCACGATTCACGAAGCGCCTCGCAATCTTCTCCTTGTCTTTGGCTTGGACGGCAAGCATTTGGTGCCAATTTCCGGTATATGTATAATGTGATTCGAGTATCCAAATGTACTCTCACTAATGTCAAAGAGGAAGAGATAAATGTTTAAACAAATAAACAAAACTTGATAATTCTATCGAAATTCAGATGATTGGGTAGCCGATCGAATCCTTCGTCAATTTTCCCATGCTCTACGAAACCCTTTGAACTGTTTACGCTCTTTAAAACCCACTACTCGTCGTTACAATTATCTTATATCTTAAAAGAAAAAGAATTAGCTAGCCAGTTGATTTGTTGTGTCTCTAGTTACATATATGGAGACTCTTTCTTCACCATCCTATGTTGTGATAGCATATGATGCAACTAAGGAACGTGGTCAAGATGAGCTTAAGGTCACTGTGGATAGAATTAGACTCAGAGGTGACATTCTTCGTGGAGGTGATACCCTTCTTGTGCTTGGCGTTTTGCATAGGGTCGATGGATTGCTTTCATAATTATATCAACACTATTATTTACTTGGACTATCATGCTTACCTGTTCTCAACTTAACCCATCAGTTTAATTAGTAACAATTTTTTCACTTAGATGAGTATAAAAGTGTAACCTACTCTCGTGTAGCTCAAATGGTAGGACGTGTGGTTAGGGCACACGATCCCAGGTTTGAATCCTCTTCAGTCCCAAGATTTAAGTGGGGGCCTCGCCATAGAATGACGTACATGTTTCCCAAAATTTTTAACCCCTTTATGATTCCTTAAAGGTGTGCTTTTTATTAACCCCTAAATACGCTGTTTATTCATTTTCTTGTTTTGGGTTGGTATAGTGGGTTACCAGGCCAAGGCATGTGCTGCTAATTTTGGAACGAGTGTTCGTGCTATGGAGGAAGAAGTTACAAAGAAAGCGGATGCATATAAAAATATGCTTCTTCAAAGTGCTGAGGCGTGTGATGATGATGGGGTAATATATACTATAGATGGTTTGAATATTAGTCAATAAGGGCCTCTAGATCTGTTGCTATCAATTGACAGATTAATAACTTGTATGATCACCATATGATTAGAAATTGTTTTTACTTCTGGCAATTATACGTGTAATTGTGTTGTATAACAAATTTCATATTAGGGAAACAGACAGTTTTTCATAGTTATTCTTCGATTTTGTTTGTAATTCCCATATATATATGATCATGTTTAGGTCAGCATTGAAGTTAAAGTTACTGCTGGAACGCCCCTTAAGAAGGTGATTGTGCAAGAGGTTTTAGCGTGTAAAGCAACTTGGGTTATACTTGATAGGTAATTGTTTTCTCTTTATTCTATTCTTGTGTTCCGAGTCAGAAGTCTATAAGGTCATACTTTCATATTTATGATTGAAAACAAATCCAAATTCTGCATTAATTAGGTGCTCAATTTTTCCTTATAACTTGCAAATCCTGCAGGCATCTGAGAAGAGATCAGGGGTTCTATCTGAGACAAATACCTTCAAAGCTTGCATTAATTCAAGATAGCTTCGGTGTGGAAATCTTGAGATCTAAGACAACAAATGAAACAGATGCACTTATAGAGCACAAGTTGTTTAACTCCATGTCAAAATCAGTTCCCCAACCTAATACTCAACCTGCAGAAAATGCTGATCAGCAGTCTATCTCCAGTATTAAGAGCTATCTTCAAATCCACAGGTCCTTGGATAGCGATTTGATTTCTTCATCCATTTATGATTCGCGGGAGCATTACTGTCCATCTGATTCTGGGGCTCACTCTGAGCAAGAAAAATCTGGTCCGCAACTTTCTTCACCTTCTTAGAAGATAAAAATTCCACAGCATAAGAATCACTTGCGAAAGAGATCTTCAGGAGCTCCAATTCTTTGTGCTACATGTGGGCTGAGGACTGAGTTGTATATCAAGGATTCTATGAAATTCAGTTTTCTCGAAATTCAGCAAGCAACAAATGATATATCAGAGGAATATGATTTAATTGGAAAGGGTGGATTTGGTATATCGAAACCCACAAGACTAACCCTCTGATGTTCCTTTATAGACAGATTAAATGTGAAGAAATCAAGACTGCTAGTCAAAATCGAATAACAAAAGCTGTAAAGTTTTGAAGCTACCGTTATGTGTACAGTTTGATCTTAATAAAGCAGAGTTATTCAATTCAATTCTATATGATTTTTTTTATTGTAGCATTTTTGCTTAAACTTTCCCTTCACGAATCAGTTGGTTATGTGTAAGGCATAATTTCAGAAATTTACTAATTTACAAACACTGTATAGATAAAAGAACAATAATGTATCACTTAGTGTGGCTTCCAATACTTGATAATCTCAAGATAATATATATAGGTGATTCATAATTGATAAAGGGTCTTGATATGTTAAAGTGAAATAACAGTGAGCTTTTTACATATTCAAAATTAGTCTTAATTTCATCGTAAATAAAATGTCTTTATTAAAATGAAAATGGAGTAAAAAAAGTAACATCAAATATGTCAATCAAAAGTTGTTCATTTTTTTTTTAGAGAATAAATATATCACATCATCTATATACTCAATCAATATATATACATCATTCATTACCATGCCAAAAACTCCCTTGAAAGTAAAAAATAAATATTAAAATTTCATTTTCAATTTTCAATTTTCAATTTTCTTATTGACAATGACTATCTCTAACAAAAAACTTTCTTGCTCTATTACTGTTACCCTCTTCGAACCTAATTTGGTAGTAATATGAAGACTGGTATAGGCTTGGG